AGTCGCCTGACGCGTCACAAGTTCTGGCTGCTGGTCGAGGATGTGCCGCAGAGTCAGCACGTCGATAAACCGCCCAGCTACAAGGTGCTCAGCCTGCAGGCTCAACAATTGGCCAACGGACTGCGCTACCCACCGAATATCTACTTTTTGAGCAATTTTGAGCAGCCGCAAGCGGCGCTACAGCCGCTGGTGCGCCTGCTCCCGCATGGCGCGCTGCCCTGCGATGTGCATCTGACCACGTTGCGCACGCTCTCCGAGTCGCAGCTGCAGCTGTTTCCGTCCGCCTCGGCGCTAATGGTGTTGCATCGTCAGGGCTACGATTGCAGCGTCAGCGCACAGCATCTGGACATGAGCAGCCTGTGCCCACTGACGGGCAACGGCCTGGGCGCCGTGCGCTTCGGTGATCTGCGTCTGCTGAGCATCGAGGCGACCAGCCTTACGGGCTTGCCCAAGCATATGCAGCCGCAAACACTGCGCTCGCTGGCACAGATCACGCTGGAGCCCATGGAGCTGCGCACCTTTAATCTGACCTTTCGTGGGGAACTGTAAGCTGTAAGCTCCGCCAGGCAACTGGACAGCTGTTTCAGTTAGTGTAGCCTCTAAGTTGGCGTTGTATCTCATGTGTAACAAACGACAAAATATTTATTGTATTTATTTGATGACACGTTGAGTTAAGTTCTTATATTTTTAGTTTTTACGTACGGACAAGTGCATGTTATTTATGTTTAGCTTTATTCCACACAATGTACACTCTTCTCCGCACATTTTACAAGTACAAAGCCCAGCAGAGCATAGTTATCATATACCAAAATTATCTATGTGAATGTATATGCAATAGATCATTTTACTGCCCGTCAGCATTCCGTTTAAGCAACTGTCATATCCGAGCTCTATACAAATCTATAACTCTAACTGTGCGGTCCACACTTTGTGCAATATGTTTTAACTAAATCCTATAAAAATTCTGAATCGGCAAACTAGATAAAGTTAACTCTTCGATATAGTTTGTAAACTTCTGATATATAATTAGTTTAGCTAAAACCAACAGATAATATCTCAAACTATTCGAATATTTTTCTTAGATAATTATAACTTTCCTAACTAGATTAAATCAATTTTTGTTGGATTTAATATGCAAATTCTTATTTATATAATTTATCTAACTTGAGGCCAACAGGCAATATCTAAATTAATTCTAACTTGAAATTCATATAAACATTTTTTTCTTACATTGCTTGCCTGATTGGCCTTAGTTAAAATTAGTAGAGCTTAAAGATAATAATTATAGCATATAAATATTTAGCTGCAAATATTTAGAACGCGTATTAGAGAAAATTTGTTCAGTTTTAGCCACAAATGTTGAATTTTTGTTGCCTTCTATTTAATTTATTTAGACTGATTAGCTTAAAATATACGCAAAACGAAGAAAAAAACAAAAATTAATCAATGCTTATTTAGCAAATATCTCAATTAAAGAAAGACACGTGGAATTAGTGTAAGATTTTAACGAACGGCTGGATAGCGAAACAAAAAGGAGAAAGAGTTAAGCCAAATATTGAAGTACATTAATTACCCCATAACCCTATAATTATGTTCGCTGTAATTTTTTGTTTTTTTTTGTTTTCTTGTATATAGTTCTAAAAGGCACGGTAAATGATAGCTCTAATATAAAATCGAAACTAACCCATTTAGGCTAAGCCACATTACCTGTAGTGCTGTACTTTATAAACGTCAACGAATCTTTGATATAAAATACATACAAAATATACCATAGTTACTAACTAAACAAAATATTTACAATTGTAAAGCCTCACATGTACCGAAAACAAAATGCATTCAAACCAAGCAAAAATATATATTATGAAAATACATAGGATAGTAAACTGAATGAAAAAATGCGAAAGCTAAGCAAGGACAGACATTTTATGAGTTGAATTTTAAACATATATGTATTTATATTTGATAATATATATGGAAAAATTAGCATGACAAATTCAATGTAATTTTATGAATACAAAATGAATAAAGTATTAATTGAAACCAATACAATTAGGTTAAGCGTCGCTTTTCAAGGAGCATCCTAATTAACCTGGTAGTTAACCAGCTAGCATTGATTTTATTTCTGATCCTGAGACGTACTTGGAATCCTAAAGGTTCCTAAAGGATCTACTTATCACAAAATCGGCCATTACTTGGTCATATCACGGACAATCTTGCCAATTTTTAATAAACAATAAGAAAGGACGAAAATCCTTCAAGGTGCCATGATAAATAACCTTAGTTCTGTGGAGGAAACAGGCCGTATCTTTGCTATATCCTTGCGCATCCTCACAAGTCTTGTGTCAAACAATTTTCTTGGGTAAGGTCTACAAACTGGCCAAAGGATAATGCGATCGTCCTTGTAGTTTCCAAGATATGTCTGTTTTTCTCAAAAGGAGTTTCTATTTATATTCATAACTCGGTCTTATCCTTAAGGATATCGGAGTGACATACCTTTTCGAACACGTGGGAGGCAGCACTATCGATTGGCATTCAAGGATTTTCAGAATTCCTCAAAAAATGTTACTTCAATTTTTCCAAGGGGGTTAGTCGCAAAATTGGCCAAAACGCCAAGAATTCGGTAAAACTTAGCCATATTTAGGACTAATGGGATGTCCTTTGGCCAACAAGAACTCCTTATAGGCCTGATTAAAAATATACAACAAAAAGGACGAAAGTCCTTCAAATAGCTGAGAAAAAATTACATTTTTGTGCACAGAAAATAGGCTATAACTCGGCCGAATCCTCGCGTATCCTGTTAAATTATGTGTGAAAAAATGTATACTGGCCAGGGCTATCAACTGGCCAAACGACATCCAAATTGTCCTTATAGTTTCTGAGAAATCAAGGATTTTGTGTTTTTGGCCTCTTTCTTGCTGGCCGCAACTAAAAATTTTACAAGTCCCGGATTCTTAGATGACCCCAATATACTTGAATGCATATTGATAGTGCTGGTCCTTGCGAACCTAACGCACCATGTCCTTTACAAATCTGCAAGGATATGGCTGAGATAGAGCTCTAAAAAGAATGTACCGTTTAGAAAAAAAGCTGAAACTCGGCCGCAATCTTACGGATCCTGGCAAGTCCTGTGTCCAACAACTCGTATGGACCCGAGCTATCAACTAGCTAAAGGACATATAAATATTTCTGTTAGTCAACGAGTTATTTAGGAGCTCGATTGAAATCGTCCAAACGGTTCCAACGCACCACATCCTTTAAAAATCTGCAAGGATTCGGCCAAGCTCAAGCTACCTTTTTGTTTAAATATTTCTGCTTGTAGATTTATGGCAAAGCATAAAAGTATGCAACACAAATACTGTACTTTACGCCTCGAATTCAGCGCAAAAGTATGCAATGGTAAAGTTTGTAAACTACTTAGTTTTGCTACATGTCGCTAGATGGCTCTAACGCTGCCCACACTAATTTGGGATTTAAAGCGTATGATTTGCAGTTCACATCTAATGATTTGTGATTCTTCTTTTAATTATACAAAAGTTTTGATTAACATCTCAAAAGTTGTTTGTCTCTTAGAAGGCGAAAAAAAAGCAAAACGTTGTGAACAATTTGCGACTTACGAATAAAATGATTTGATATTTGCAGCTATAATGTTGCCTGAATTTATTTAAAGCACTTGTAATAATGAATCTAGTGCGAAATTGAACAAAATTGTTTGTTGTTTATGTGAACATTTGGTAAATATTTAAACTGATTGAAATTAAATAAGGAACTTAGCTAAACATGATTCTTGACTTCGCGAAACTTAAAACTAACTTAATGTATTAGTTTAACAACAACATTGTTACAATATTTACATAGACATTTGCCTAGTCGGGCACCACTTCGTACATGTTTGCGCCCTTCTTAAGCAAATAGCCGCCTATGTTGGCAATCTCCACCAACTTTGTGATGCCCGTCATGATGCCAGCACGCGTGGCCATATCTTTCAGCTCCTCGAACTCAAAGATGCGCCGACCCAGCGCAGCCGAGCGCAACTGCATCATGTGTACAAAACTCTGAAGCTGTGAACTTTTGCCGGAACTACTTGGGGCAGCTGCTTCCGCGGTGGCGAGTCTTGTCTGCGCCATACTCTCCGTAAGCACAGCGATCACATCACGCACATGCAGCGGCGTCACAACGCTGGACAAATCCAGGCGGGCACGTGCCTGCGCAAGGCTAATCAAGCCGAGCAGCTGGCTGCAAAGAGTTGAAGCAAACAAAATGAGATTAATGATAGTTCGTTGCCTAAATCTTTCGTTTTGGGTGAGGCAAGAAGTTCGTTGCCTAAGTCTTTCGTTTGGTATACAGAACAGAAGTTCGTTGCCTGAGTTTTTCGTTTTGCCTATTTATTTTCTAGCCTTGGAGGCTCTTCTGCTTCTTGTTTGTTTTAATTATGATTGTAGCAAAACGCCATGTGCCAAATTTTGTTTTTTTTTTGTTATGCTTTAGCTGATATTCTTCATAGTCATAATAGGATTTCAGTTGTTCTGACTAATATTTGACATCAAACCCATATAAGAACAGGTGAAGCACAACCTGTTCCGACTATTTACACTTGTTTGTAAATTTCTATACGTATTTTTGGGCCATAAAAAGGTATGCTAATTTTTTGGCAACTTGTGAAGATATAATTTATTTTTCCTATTTGGTAATAGAACATTTGATTAAACCAGCCGCCATGCTCCATATACGGCAAATTGATCGGTCAGCTATGGTAAAGGGCTCAAACTCAAACTATAATTCAGTTGAATGTGGGCGCATCGAACATGTTCCAATGCAATTTAACGGAAGAGTTTTGAAACGTTAATAAATTTGTATATTACAGATGATGATGATGCTGGCTAGCTGAGCTGGCCAACTGGTTGGCTGCCCAGCGGCGAACCGGGCTCAACAAATCGATGCCAAACATCACGGCGCACACGCACCTTTCATTTGAATTTATCAATTTCGTATTTTCATTCTCGGCTCGCACGTTGCCGCGCATGGTTCAGTTCGGTTACGGGCTGGTTTAAACAGCATTTCCCTTATATTGTGGAAAAGCGCATCGTGAACAGCTATCGGAAGCGCAGCGCAATTTCCTAACACTTGGCATTGAAGCGGCTTTTGTTGAATGCTCAGGTTTTTGGTTGATGAAATTTAAGTTGGGTGTCGCAAGCTTAAAGAGCTTATCACAAAACAAAAAAGGAAAAACAAGAAATAAATATTAAAAAGTGCAGCCAAAACAATTAAGTAGGTGTTGTTATTGTTATTGAGAGTGCACTGTGCTATTGTTAGGCGACAACATGTGGCCGCTAAAGCTTATTGTAAGCTGTGGCGTGCTCCTGGCGGCAGTTCAATGCTTTGAGATGAACAGTAAGTAATATGTTACTATATGCTACAGTGCATCGGTATTATTATTGCTATTGTAATGGGATTTTTTATAGTAATTTTGTTATCTGTCGGTTAATAAAATGTACTCGCCCGCACGCAACGATTGGCGGGCGTTTTCGTCGCATTAAATTGTTACCCATCAAATGATTCTAATTACAATTGGGAACGTTTAGATTTACGACAGTTTGTATAACGCCCGACAATTGTTTATATCTGTGATACAATGCGCAAAATAATATCAGTTTAAATGCAAATCTAATTTATGGAATTCAAATTAAATTAAACAATTTTGTTTTCAATCATTGAAGCCTGATGGGAATTAAATAGAGAACTGAATACGAACTTGAGCACATTTTTTATGACTATCCACATCATGCATATCATTCAAATCTATATTTTAGCTCGCTATATTGCTAAAGTCTTAGGAATGTGTTTTAATATTGCATACATATAGAGACAGACTATAATATAAATTTGGTATAGAAACAGGAAAAAGATATTGGCATTGTTAGGAATATACCTAGAGATATAGATAGATATAGAAAGATATAGGTATAGATATAGATATAGATATAGATATAGTATAGATATAGATATAGATATAGATATAGATATAGATATAGATATAGATATAGATATAGACATAGATATAGATATAGATATAGATATAGATATAGATATAGATATAGATATAGATATAGATATAGATATAGATATAGATATAGATATAGATATAGATATAGATATAGATATAGATATAGATATAGATATAGATATAGATATAGATATAGATATAGATATAGATATAGATATAGATATAGATATAGATATAGATATAGATATAGATATAGATATAGATATAGATATAGATATAGATATAGATATAGATATAGATATAGATATAGATATAGATATAGATATAGATATAGATATAGATATAGATATAGATATAGATATAGATATAGATATAGATATAGATATAGATATAGATATATATATTTATATATCCTACAAAATATTAATAACTTTTTAATAAGGCTCAGATTTATGATCAGATTTTCTTATATTCAATAGCCTTAAAAAATGTAATTATCTTAGCTATAACATCATTTTATTAAAGACTTTTGATAAATTTGAATGTCAAAAAAGTGGTGTATTAAATCAAAAACAATCTTAAATGTTTTTTTTTCAATAACATATATAATCTTTCGAGTCAAGTACAGCTATTAGCAGAACGTAATTTTTACCCAATTTCTATTAACTTCCCAGAGCTTAAGCTTAGTCCTGAGATCAAGCAAGTTATGTAAATGTAATTAAAAGATTCATTTAATTGAAAATATTCCCTGATGTGCATAATCAAGACTTATCTCCAAGGCCCCGCACTCTACACTCATAATTTACAAACAGTGACAATGAAAGATTTTAGACAGACACTTGCATTTCGTATTAACGTCAGATGATTTGACAAATCCGCACTAGATACACAAAAGCGATTGGCTATTTTAATTGTCATAAATGTACTAAATAAACAGTCAGCAAAAACATTCCATTCCAAAAAAAACGGTTTTTTACCCGAAACGATTGCCTACGGCTGATTTTTGGGTTCTATCTGGTTTTTTCTACACCTTTTTTCATCTGTTTTCATCTTTTTTCTCTTTTGCGTGACACGCTTTATTGAACGTTTCCCAAATTACGCGATTACAATTCATTCAGCTTCGCGTTATGACAACAACATAAATAAAGTTAAACACCAAAAGCAAAGTTCCCTCACACTTGTGCAAAACAAATAAGAATCTTACAGTCGGGTGCAACCGACTGCTTAATACTCTATTCACAGTCCAACAAAAGTTTAAGACAGGCTATCTACAAAAATATTCTAGTCTCGAGCCTTAGAGAAGCGCCTCATTCCAGATTTGTGGCAGATATCCATTTGTTATGCAATTGTCCCTTCCCTTCCCTCCTCGTGGTCCTTCATACAGAAAGACAGACGACGAATATACTCTTTTCACTTTGCATATGAACGCGTTTAAATCAAGGGTAATATTTGACTTTTCTATCTGCTCGAGACAGGAACACGATGACTTTGCACTATTTGCATACTGATTTGCACATCACAAATCAAACTCTGAAGTACTTAGGATAGCTGTCTTTTTCTTGTGAGTGCAAATTTATGGAATTTCTTTGCGATGAGCTTAAAATCCGGCAAAGTTCAAGGACTTGAAATTTGAGTTCAGTTTTGTGTTATACGGGGTATTTGTTTTTCGATGCTTAACATCAAAAATCTTTCTGTATGCAAACTATAAATCCAGTTTTTTGAAAAAATTTGAACTTGTTTTTGGGCAAGTTGACTTTCAGTTAATTGTTTTTTTCCCGCCAAGGACTCAGAGCTCTCATGCAAGTCATAACGTAATGTGCGAATTCCAGAAGATTCCTTTTGTCTTGCCATCCGCAAAGGTGAATCACCTGAATTTCAAGTTCAAGTTTGTGTCCTAAGTCTTTTCGACTAATTCACAGAACTGCAAGGCAGGAAAACGAGTTTCCCTTCACTTGACTGATCATACGACCAGATACGGCTATAGCCAGTTAAGGGTACCATCTTCTTGGCTAATTTGTTGGATTTTATTCGAATAAAACTAGTTTTGCTTGCCTGAATCAGACGAGAGAACTCCTTAATGACTGTCCATTTGTTTGCCTCCTCAGTGACGCAGTATTACGAGATGCCGCAGCTTTACGACTTCGATGACTACGATCGCTGTCTGCAGGAGTTCGGGGCAAGCGACGACACAGCCACCTATTGCTTTGTGCGCGCCGAGGTGCAACCGAATAGAACAACAGCCGCCTGGCGTGCCATACAGGAGATCTCCAAGTTTGATCGGCATCACTTTGATCATCGCCAGCTCTACTTTGGCCTGTGCGTGCACAAGTGCGAGGCGCAGCTGGCGGAACTGGATGCAAATGCCATTCAGCAGCTGCAGGCGGGCATTCTCACAGACAATGCCAAGGTGAATATGGACACATTCGTATATGTTATATTAGAAACTATGCCTATTCCAAGACGTGATTTCTGTTCAATATTCTCTGGCAATGAATCGACAAAATTTGTCTAGTAATTATTAACAACTTATGAAATGAACAGCTTCGGCTGATTAAGATGGTTCAATGGAATTCTATCAGCCGTTTGGTTTAGATTCAATTAACACAACCATATGAAGCCATGAAAATGTATTCAAGCCAAGCTAAGCCATAAAATCGAAAACCGCTTTTCAATGCATTTTGAAGATCGCACACAATTTAATTTAATTTAACGCCTTTGCCCAACCGCCACCAGCTGCAGCCTGAAGAAAAGCAAAGATTTCATAATCTGTCACAGCTACCAATAAAAAAACTTGAAAAACAAAAAAAAAACATAAACGAAACGAAAATAAAGTGTTGAATGAAAACTAAAAGTGTTCAAACTAAAAACAAATAAAAAAAAACAAACAAAATACCGAAAATGTATGTTACGGGCGCAACGAATAGTGTATACCCTTCACAAGTTGGAGTATGATATAAAAGTTTCTTTGTTTTTCCAGTCCTTTTTTTGTCACTCTTCATTGCACAGCAGACTTCTTTATTTTGTCTTTGTGCGTCATTCGTAAACGTTAAAAATCTGTCATTAATATTTCGTTTTTTTCCATTACGCTTTGTGTGTCATTCTTAAATGTTTTTCCTTAATTTACTTTGTGTGACATTCTTAAATGTTTTTTCTTAATTCACTTTGCGTGACATTCTTAAATGTTTTTCTTTAATTCACTTTGTGTGACATTCTCAAATGTTTTTCTTTAATTCACTTTGCGTGACATTCTTAAATGTTTTTCCTTAATTCAGCTTGTGTGACATTCTTAAAAGTTTTACTGACCGCAAATGCTTATACTACAAATTTACATCCTCAGATATGGCAACTTATATATAGTTGAATTAAGCAAATCCTTAGCTTAAATGGCTATAGAAATTCTTCCATATGTAGCAAACAGTCTCAGATAGTCTATATACCCAACAAGACTGCAATTATTGAATAGCCCACAGTTTATTCAACTCAACGTTGCGGTCAACAGTGGCTTAGTTAAGGGGAGAGCTACTCATATTAAGAGGATGACGAATTCAATTCGAAAATATTATATACTAAATATTGAAACCCTAGTACAGTTTTTCAGATGCAAGCTAGAATTTATTTGCTGGCTTCTTCGAGTAGCCCCCTTCCCCCCCTTTGTGCGCTGTGCCGCTGCCCAAGCTCGAGTCGATCGCTGAACATCAAGAGTTGGTCATCATTTTAGGTGGGTCTGCTGCATAATTAGACGATGCCAGCGAGGAAAACCCACTGATTGACCGATGTCAGTTGCTGCAGTAGCCAATGGCATATAGTTTAAAATTTTTTGGGTTACAGAAAAGTCAGGCGTGGGCCATTTAATGGCGGGCACCGAAAAATTGGAGCAGCTGCATTTCTTTCAGGGCCAAGGCCAATTGGCTGGCATTTTGTGGTGTCATCTTTTTTTTGTTTGTTTGCTGCAGGTGAACGTGTATCTGGAACTGTTCGCCATGGAGTCGGCCAATCGGGCGCGTTACAACGAACTGAGCAACGCCTGCCTTAACTGGCGCTTGCAGCAGCGCAACTTTGGAGTTCGGGCCAAGAGTGTGGTGGAGTATTGCGATACGACAGCGACCGCCGGCAAGGTCAGCGAAGAGGGTGAGTCACAGGGAGAAGCAGGTGACATTTGACATTATGCCAACAACAAGAGAATTTAATTCAGATCTGAGACCCATCCATCCATAATCTTAGCAAACGTATAACAAGTGCTCTGCCTCTCCACAGATGATCCCTGGAACTTGGGCTTCTATGTTTTAGTCTGTGCCCTCATCCTGTTGTCCTGCCTGAGCAGCCTCGTCGATTTGCATTTGAAGCGCCGGCGACATGATAAAATGTTGAAGGAGCGCGATCATTATAAGACGCCGCCACGTAGCCTGGTCACGCGCCTGCTGCTGACGTGCTCCGTGGCCAGGAATTGGTATCGATTGAATCAGGAGCCAAATGGCAAGATCGGACGCGAATTGCGTTTTCTCGATTGCTTCAAGTTCTTTGCCATGTTCCTGGTCATCTTTGCGCACACCAATTGGGTGATCTACGAGAGCGCCATCAGTAATCCTCAAGATCCGGAGCGCATGCTGCACACGGCTGCCGGCACGCTCCTAATCTCCGGTTCGCTCATCACCGTCACCTTCTTTGTGATTAGCGGCTTGCTGCTGACCATCAACTGGCTGGCGGTGACACGGGCGCTGACGGACGACAAGAACGAGACGTGGAGCCTGGCCAAATATGCGGCACTCTTTGTCAAGTTCAATGTGTTTCGCTATATACGCCTCACGGTGCCCTACGGCTTTGTGCTGTTGCTGAGCGGCGTTTACTTTGAGAACGCCGGCGGTCCGCTCTGGCGGCACATTTACCAGCGGGAGCAGCTGGCCTGCCGCAAGAACTGGTGGACCAATTTGCTATTTATTAACAATTTTGTGCGAACCGATGAGCGTGTAAGTGTAGCAGCGGAATGAGCTGATTCCACAGCTGGCTAAAGTCTTAGTTTATGTTTGCAGTGCCTGCTGCAGGGCTGGTATTTGGCCGCGGACACGCAATCCTTTGCCTTGAGCTTGTTGGTGCTGATACTGGGACATCGCTTTGGACGCTGGAGCAAGCAGCTCTATGGCATCGTGCTGGCCATCTTTATGCTGCTGCCCGCTGTGCTCACATATGTCTTTGACTACTATCCCATTTTCCTGCCAACGCCGCAGTAAGTAACCGAGAAGTGGCTTTGTTTGTGTTTTTTTTTTGTTAATTTGTGTCTCCCTTACAGAACCCAGAAGGACTCGTTTATTGGCGATCGTCAGTTTACTGAGTTTTATACATCCTTTCAAATGAATTTCGGCGCCTATTTCTGTGGCGTCCTGGCGGCCATTGCCTACGATCAGCTGTCCCTCAAGCAGTACAAGCTGCGTGAGCTGCGCAGCTTTCAAGTGTTCTGGTTCAGTTTGTTTCCAGTGGGTGTCTTGTGGCTCTTCACGGCTCATCCCATTTATCAGCATTATTATACGGAAACTCCGCGCTTCTGGGGCGCCATCTATGCGACCGTACAGCGCAACTTTTGGGCCTTTGGTCTGAGCATACTCGTTGTGGGAATGGCTGCCAAAGTGGGATGTAAGAACAGTTCCAAATCACATTTACATTACTTTTCACCAGCAACAATTACTTTCAAGTCATTAACATATTATTATTTTAAGTAGCAATCCGGTAATACCTATAGGTAATTAGAATGTAGTTCGTAATTCCACTTAAATTCTTGTTTATCCAGCAATTAATTTTCATAATTAAATTGTCATTGATTACTTAATGTTCCTGGCACACCTGACTAGTAATTACTTGAGTAATTAAAATGTAATTATTTTTTCCTGTTAAAATCTTACGTATTAATATTGCCAGCATTTAATTCCTTGCACAAATATTCATGCTTGAATTTGCAACTTTAATTACATTAATTACCTTTGATTAATTGAACAGTAATTACTTGTGAGCAGTGGAGCTGTCATTCCATTCAACATCTTATATTTTAATTATTGCCATCATTTAAATACTCCAGAAATGAAATTATAAGTTATTTAATTTTCCAGGGATTCTACGCAAGTTTGCCTGCCTACCCATATTTCGCATACTGGGTCGACTGACCTACGGCGCCTTCATTGTACATCTCCTGGTGGCACGTCTGGCGCTGGCCACGGTACGTGAGCCCATATACTTTGGCACGGGCACAATGGTGAGTTGAAGATGTTTCTAACATATTCCAGTTTTCGCATTTAATATTTTGCATTTATCCTACACAGTTTGCTTATATATTCTACGTGTTATGCGCCTCGTATCTGAGTTCTCTGCTTCTGGCCATTTTTGTGGAGTTGCCTGTATCATCATGTCTTAAGCTGTTGCGCTAGTCCAAGTTAAACGAAAATGTTGATGACATTTGCTTAAAGTAACTCTCTAAGGATTAGTTTTATCAAGCAAGTCACCGAAAGCTTAAAGTTTTCTTAAAACTTTAAGAGTTATCAGCTTGTTGAAAGACAAATTTGCAGAAGCTTCAAGTTAGCTTTATAGTGTTTATCTAGAAAACCGAAAACAAGTGAAAGCAAACAAAGCCCAAGCAAAGGGTTTATTAGATTAAAGTATAAAATATTTCGAATTGATTCTTTTAAACCTTACTTCAAGCAAGTGTCGTCATTGTGTAAATTAAACTTTTAACTTATGCTAAAGATTTTTGTTAGTAAAACCTAAATTTAAGTAACTTAAACTTAATAAAGCCCAAAGTCTCGTTTAATACCAAGGAGTTATCGGTATCAAAGTGTATCAATAGAAAGACAAAAAGTATTCAAACCACAGTAAAAATCGTATTAGCTGTGCTCAATGTGTAAATAACTAATATTTTGTTGTGTCAAATCGATAGTTATCGAAGTTGATCGATAAAATCAAGGAGGATTTTTTGTTAATTCAATACTTATCGCAGTTGATCAATAAAGTCATAAAGGCTATTCAGTGTCAGCACAAAACAAATATATATTAGGGATGTTCTCAGTATGCAAGAAAACGTTCACTCGATACGTACCGAAGTAAATCGATTAAAGCACAAAGTGTCGATAAATACCAAGATGTTATCGGTGTCGAAGTGTATCGATAAAAGGACAAAAAGTATTCAAACCACAGTAGAAATCGTATTAGCTGTGATCAATGTGTAAATAACTAATATTTTGTTGTGTCAAATCGATAGTTATCGAAGTTGATCGATAAAATTACAAAGGATTTTTTTGTTAATTCAATACTTATCGCAGTTGATCAATAAAGTCATAAAGGCTATTCAGTGTCAGCAAAAAATAAATATCTATTAAGGATGCTCTATGTATACAAAAAAAACGTTCGCTTGATACTTATCGAAGTAAATCGATTAAAGCAAAGAGGGAAAAACATTTGGGAAATGAAGTAGTAAGAGAATTATGTATATGTAACTCACCCCATGCCAATCTGACTCTGCTCGTGCTCCAGCTCGCTGCGACGGTACAGCTCCATGAAATGCCACTTGATGGCATTGGCGGCCTCATCGTTGAGCAGCGGCTTGACATTCTGGCGCGCATAGGCAATGAATTTCTTCATCAATATGGGTGGCAGCAGATCCAATTCGGGCTCCAGCACATTATACTCCAACCGCTTATCCAGATCATAATCCTGCTGCATGATGCTATCCTTGTCATCGTCCGTCACAACGGGCGCATCATGAAAGGTGGCCTCACACACGGATTCGCTCTTCTTGGGCTTCAGTGCATAGCGTGCGGCAATCTGCTCGCGCTTCTTGGAGCCGGCATGTAGGGCACGCACATGCTCCGTCAGGGACATATCGCGCGTGGTCGATTGCCTGTCCAGCAGCACATAGACCAGATGAAACTCCTTGAGCAGGGCCGCAGTGATGCGAATATTCTGCAACAAATAACGCGCCTGGTCGTACTGTCCACGCTGCGGATTGGCACAGGCAATAATCGCGGGTTGTGCTTCAAAGGAGGCAAAGACGCCCGGCAACGGCATATTCAGCTGTCCGGCTTGCATGCACTGAAGCAGCAACGTCTGCTTGGAGGCCAACTTGTCCACACCGTCCACAAGGCAAGTACCCGCTGTACCGGCCATGAGTAGTGCGCCCGCATCCATGACCCGCTTGTTGCGTCCGCTAAAGCTGACTCCCAATTGATTGGCTGCTTGGGCGCCACGTTTGCCGCTTATGTGACTGCCACGCTCGGTGATCTGTGCACAGTTCTGCAGCAGCATGGATTTGCCAATGCCGGGATCACCGACCAGTAGCACATTAATATTGTCGCCGAGCAACGACAGCAAGCAGGCGGCCTTGGCCAATTCGTGACCGTGCAACTCCGGCGCCAGCGATTGCACCAGCAGCTTAAAGCAATTGGGTTCCGAGTTTATCGTGGAAATTGCCTCTAAATCGCGTTCGCTAAACTCAAGCTTTACGTGCCGCGCCAGCTGCACGCTGCAAGCGCGTAAATACGCCTGCAAATCTCCGCTGGCTGTTGCTGTTGCTGCGCCAACAGAAGTCGACGGCTGTTCGCTGTTGTCGCACAGCTCGCGCAACTTCAAGACGCCCGTGACTTTAATCTCCTGACCCACGTGCACAGCATCAACCAGATCGTGACGCAGCTCTATGTCTAGTTCACCTGGCAGCGTGCTGTCATAGTCCGTCAGCAGGGCCAGACTGGACTCCTCCAGCCGTATGATCTGCCGCACCGAGAGACGCGTATACGGCGAGCTGCGCAGCGCCAGAAAATTGTCCTTGGCACCGCACTGTGGCTTCAAACAGTGATACGGACGCGGCGTGTAGTTGCCTCGCTGGCGCAGCGTCTGCTCCGTCTGGCAACGTGTGCAGCGAAATGCCTGCCAGCCTAGGCCCAATGTGGGTTCACCCACGCAGCTCACAATGCCACGCACCGCAAACAGGCTGTCAACGCGCGCATGTGTAATGCTATTAACCAACTCGACGGGCACAAAGTCGTCGGGACGCGCGTATATCTTGCGCGTGCGTCCAGTGCGCGGCACATACATCTCTTTTGTGGTCACCAAAGGCAATATGCTGTCCACAGCTTCTTCGGCAGCGTCCAGGCAATTGTTAACGACCACCGTGTGCATGGCCACACCTATTGTGGAGAGTGTACGTAGCGGTTGTCTTTGCAAATCTTCTGTCAGCGTTGGCCACACTGCCGTCAGCTGTTCATCTTGCACTATTCCCGGAGCTGAGACCTGAAAGTAGCCGCGTTGCCGAATGCGTGCCGCATCATATTTTTGCGGATTACGCTGGTAGTGCGCCTCCACAGCGACAATGCGCTTGGCCAGCTCGCTATCCGCTACGTACTCCTCACGCAAAAAGTACAGGCGCCAACCGGGATAAGCTCGTGGATTGTTGACAAGTAGACTGCGCACTTCCAGCGCATCCTCTGGAGCAGCATAGTTTTCAGGGCGCAAGTAACTGCAATCTATTGCTGCATTTGACGCACGCTTTCGCCCTGCATCGCCCCCGGACCGACTACGACTCCACCCTCGGGGCTGTGGAGCACCCCTAGCAGCTGGATTTTGCTCTGCTGCCGGTTGACGATTGCCGCCAGCAGGTATAACGCGGCCATTGCGACGAAAATAGAAATATGGACGATAGCCACCGCCGCCGCGCGCTCTGCCGCGCACAAATCTCGAAGCTGAACGTCCGCCTGACGGCGGATTCATTTTAATTTCGCAACACAAATTCGAAATATGCACTTATTTATGTACCGTTTTTGGCGCTTTGCTTCCTCTTCCAACTGTTATCGATATCAATAAAAGTCGCCGTATTTTTTGTTATCGATTTATCGAATTTATTTAAATTCAAATGCACATAACAAAACTGAATATCATATTCTAACTAGAATTGTTTTCTATTGTTTAATTGCATCATCTTCATATCGCGCTCCAATATATCTATTTCAGTGGGCAAGTAATGTTTAAACACAATCTTGACCTTAGTTTTTAACTCGATAAATGTTTCCAGCACAAGTTTCTCTTCCTCTTCGTTTTCGGCCTGGAATGTTTGAAGCTCGTGAAAGAAATTAACGCATCCATCAAGTAAACTAATTTGCTTTAGTTGAAGTTCGGACAACTGCTTTTGCAAAGTCGTAATATTTATTATATGCTCATCAACACGGGTCGACATCGACGCAATAGAGGCCAACTGCGCCTTGTGTTGATCATCCTTGTTTTCTGAAGCTGTCTTATCCAAACTAATATCCATCACATCGATGCCTGTATCATCAGCGCATTCCTCATTTCTTGCTACGGGAGCTGGTGGAATATTACCAGTCTTTAGAGATTTGGTCTGCTCCTTCGTTTGCTTTTTATCCGCTCCTTTGCCAGCTAACTGTAACAAAATAAGATTGTTACCAATGTTAGCTTTTAATTTTTACCTTCTAATTACCTTCTTTTGAGCAGCTTTTGATTTATTCTTTTTCGTCATTTTTGTAAACTCTTAAAATTGAAATCAAAATTATTGATGAATTTACTTATTGCTCTAAAATAATGAAGATATATCAAAAGGCTATTTTACAGTAACGACAGTATATTCACAGCAATCTCATTTTGAAAATTAGTTGTAATAAACATTTCAAATGTTTATTATGCGCAAAAAACGCCTCCCTTACAAAATTAAGTATATTTATATATCGAAAAATGTCGTCAGTATTTTTCGTTATAGTATTTTGTATATATTTTTTGGTATTTTGAAATACACCGAACGCACTCATACTGAAAATTGTTTTAAGTGAGTGCTTTGCTAGTTGTTTTACAGAAAACCCAAATAATTACAGCTTAAAGCCGCGAACTATTGAATTTGTAGAATGCCGGTGAGTATTTAGGCTATTTTGCGTAGCCAGCAAAAATTCCAAATAGGTACACCGGTTTATTGTGCTTAGTTTTTGTCGAAATGCTAGACCACACGCTAAGCAATTCATAAAATTCGTATCAATTGCTTACCTATTTTCAGGCATACCACTCGCAAATCAAGGACTTTCGCCAACAGGTGGGCAACATGGCCATCCTACCATTGCGGACCCAGGTACGCGGACCAGCCCCAAGTGCCAATGTAGAGAGTGATATTATCGATGAGTCACTTTATTTTTTTAAAGCAAATGTATTCTTTCGCACCTACGAAGTGAAGGTGGGTATTGGACTAGGTACAAGTGCTTTGTGTATATATTTATATATTTTATATCTTTCGTGCAGTCGGAAGTGGATCGTGTACTCATCTATATTACGCTATATATAACCGAATGTCTTAAAAGACTGACCCGCTGCACCAGCAAATCACAGGGTCAACAGGAGATGTACAGTTTGGCCATCTCCAAATTCGATATACCCGGCGAGGCTGGTTTCCCATTGAATTCGGTCTACGCCAAGCCCCAGTCCGCCCAGGATGCCGATCTTATGCGTCAGTATTTGTTGCAGCTGCGTCACGAGACAGGCAATCGGGTAGTGGAGAAAGTATTTAGCACAGAGGATGGCAAGCCAAACAAATGGTGGACTTGCTTTGCCAAGAAGAAGTTTATGGAGAAGAGCCTGGCCGGTCCAGGCCAGTAAATTAAAACGTAGCAAGGAATTTACAAGTGCATTATATTCCAATATCGAATTGTATTATTTAGTAATGGCGATTGTTTTATTTTTATTTCGAATACAATAATTACGCAAATGTGTTTACGTTGTAAGTGTTGCCCGGTCAACGACGATCTTTAATTGGAAAAACATTTCTAAGCAAAAATTCTAATATGTACAATAAGAGTTAACGGTACAGATGATCGGCCTGCAGATTGGATGCTATCTCCGATTCCCATTTGTCGCCATTGCACAAGAGCTTCTCCTTGTTGTAGAGCAATTCTTCGTGCGTCTCTGTCGAGAATTCAAAATTGGGGCCCTCAACAATCGCATCGACTGGACAGGCCTCCTGCAAATGAAACACTCTATGAGCTTCATATGGGATACTTATGGAAAATAATTACCTGACAAAAACCGCAATAGATGCATTTGGTCATGTCAATATCGTACCGCGTGGTGCGCCTGCTGCCATCGGCGCGTTCCTCTGCCTCAATAGTAATTGCCTGAGCGGGGCAAATAGCTTCGCAAAGCTTGCACGCAATGCAACGCTCCTCACCGCTTGGATAACGGCGGAGGGCATGCTCACCACGGAACCGTGGACTCAGCGGTCCTTTCTCGAATGGGTAATTAATTGTGGCCGGCTCCTTGAAGATGTGCGCCAGTGTGACGGCAAATCCACGAAAGAGCTCACCAAAGAACATTGTGGTAGCAGCACGATCTGTGATATCCTCCATTTCCATACTCAGCTCTTTATTGTTAACATAAACATAGCCCTTGGGCACACAAACGATGTCTTTAGGCTCGGCTCTATTGGCAGACAGCATACGTGCGCCGTTAGTGCCAAACATCCGCTGACCTGTGCAGAAAACATATTATATTATTTGATTCCAATCCAAAAATTGACAGTATGGCAAATCTGATTTACTATGACATAAGGTTACGTAACATCATTCAATGAAATTCACTAGAAATATGTTTATTGAATTGTATCAATTGTAAGACCATTTTTTCACTAACCATTGCGCGAGACTGTGAAAATTCGCATTGTTAGCGACATGTTTGCGGCACACAAATTAATTGTCGGAAAACAAGAATTACAATTGTTTTTGTTGTGGTATTTTTGGGTCGATAGTCAATTTTTTGTCCAGGGATGGCAGCTCGTTTCGCCTTTTTCGATATGTATCGATATATCATATGATTAACGAATATCGAGTATTAAGTGTTATTAAGTGTCGATTAGTATGTTTTTAAACAGCAAGGCAGCAAGTCGTTTATAGCTGAAGCATCCTTTTTTCTGGAAAAATCTGGAAAATTAATTTGGAGCAACAAATTGTATTTTTGTGCCCTTTATAAATACTGTGCTCATTTAACAATTTGTTCGCTGATTTGTGTAGAAATAAAGGTCAATCGCAGCAGCATTCCAAACGGTGACGACATCGCTAATTCTGTTTACAAATTTCACAAGCGGACGTAAGCATGTCAGATCTATCCTATCTCGAAACGATCTCGAACAAGGAACTGCACGCCAAATGCCTGGAATATGGCCTGCCCAATATACCGGTCACCGATTCCAGTCGCAAAGTTATATTGCGTCGTTTGCAGTCATCCATTCTGGGCGTTCCAAGCAAAAATGCTACTGCAGCAACAAAGAAGACGCCGAGACGCGAAACCATACACAGCAGTAAGGCGACACCGGCACCTGTGATGAACACGAGTGTGCCGCGTGTGGCAGGTAAAAGCCCGAGCCGCAACAACAACAATAGTCGCCGCACAATTGGTGTGACACCTCGCGAATATTATCCACTGGATAGTTCACCCGTGCGCTCTGTACAAACAACAACAACCGTGTCTGATGTAGGCTCACAGTCGGAGGATGATGATTTCTACCAAGTTAATTCACCAAGCTTTAAATCCCAAAAACGTGATGACCCTCGACTGCGTCGCTCTGTTTCCTTAACCAAATCCGGCGTGCTGACCACATCATATACTCGCGAGGTGGAGAAGCCGCATTACGAGGAAGAGGAACAGCCGCAAAGCTATACATATCAACGTCCACAGATAGCGCCGGCGCCTGCGCGAACGCTGCCCATCTATGAGCCACGTATTGAGCGCAGCTATCGCCCGGATCTGTCCAGGCAAAGCCTTACCCAAACGCAACTAAACTCGACGAGTTACTTGGAAGCAGGCAACGAGTACAATGAGCCGCTCATGCAACAGGCGCCACGTAACACATTCAGCGGCTCTGCGGCGCCTTTCAATTTGGGTGGAGCAACCACGTCGGCGGTGCGTCAGCGCCAGACCATTGGAGACAGCGGTTTTGCCAGAGGTCGCCTTTTGCAGCCCACATACAAAGTGAACTCGCTGTATCCAGAACTGAACGAGTTCTATGATCAGCACAACAACACCGCGCAGCCCATGGACCTGGACACAGATAGCGAATCGGAGGCAGAGAATCAGCAGCGGCGTCAACATCAGCGTTCGCCTGGCGACAGCACAGATTCGCCCTATTTGAGTCACTTTTCGCGTCAGCTGGACACAAGAAAACGTTCATCGCCGCTGGCCAGACCTCAAATGCGGTCAACCATTCAGCAAGAGGATCCGAATGCTCCTATGAATCAGTTTCGTGCGCTAATTACATCATTGGATCGTCAATATCATCTCCGGTTTTATTTCTTTCTAATGCTGGCTGTTATGCTCGCCACGCTTATTTATGTGATAGTCACACCCGCTGTCTGAGGAATTGCGATGACTTCTTCATATGGTTATGGCTTAAATTAGTTTGTAATAACTCTCATCTGTAAAACATTGTACATTGTATGTAAAACTCCTATATACATAACTTTATTAGACAAATATCGAGCTATACTCACGTTTTCTGGTTCATTTAGAAATCATGAGTTAATGACTATAAATCTGGCACTTGGTAAATATCTTAAATGAAAATTCTATAAGCAGAAATATTCTAAGTAAATTTCTAACAAAAAAAGAAAAAACATTTTGCTCTTCATTAATATAAAGATTCCATTTTTGTTTTTAAACTTTTCTTGGTTGTTTTTTGTTATAATTGTAACAATTAATTTTGCATATTAAGAATTTATAAAATCTGAACATAATTGTTGCTTATAAATTGTTTAATAAAAACAAAAATTAAACTAATGAATATTATATCTTCTGTAATATTATTTGTTTATCCCTAATGAACATGAAAGCATAGTTATCTTTGGGGAAAAGACTGAATATTCTATAGAATAAATAGCCTTTGATTTATACACCTTGCATTTTATGCATTATATTTTGGTACAAAATATATATGATATGCTAGTCCGATATTGAAAAAAAGTTTTAAAACAAAAGTTCCCATTGCAGCCATCTGATATACTGCTCGGATATTGATAAAATTGTCCTCTAGATTCGACAAGTTGTTGTTACACCTTTTCCCACCCATACTTTGATCAACAATTTTAGTTCGTCTGCTTCGCTTAATCGTTTTTTATGTATATATAATTAGAAAAATGTACTACATTACAATTATAATATTAAATAAACTAATTAAATTTAATTGTTTTTTTTTTTCAGTTTTGTGTTGTGTGTTTCAGTTATCGGATCTCGTCTTTAGGCTAATATTTACACGCTATTTAAGAGTTGCAACACAAACAAGTGTAAAATCGTAAGGCTTGGGGTTATCCTGGGAGGCGTAGGCAAAACAGAAAGTGCCGCGATTGTTGTGCGTGAACAATTGCGGGCAGAGGAGGGTTAGAGTGTGGATATTAAAGTGACTGCATCAAATGGGGAAAAAGAAGAAAAATAAACCCTGTTTCAACAATGGCAACTGGCCGCAGTGCTTGACAGATCCATTTAATTAAAATGAAACTTGAATTGGAACGGCGAACCGTGCTGGAAGTGTGCGAATGGATCTGCTCCACGGAAACCATGTTGATTACTTTCCGGATCCAGCGGATCTTCGCCATTATCAAACTGACGTCGCTTCTCCGGATCTGTGAGCACTTCCTTAGCAGCGGCAATATCAATGAACTTCTTTTCGGCCACCTTTTTCTCGTCATCCTTAAAGTTGTCCGGATGCCATTTCTGAGCCGCCTTGCGATACGCCTTCACAATCTCCTGTTTGTTGGCGTTGCGTTTAACGCCTAAGATTTTGTAGTAATCGCGGCGTTCAGCCTGTTTTTGCAGTTTTTTCGCCTTCTGTATGCCCTCCTTGGCGCGGGAATTGTTTTCGTCAATCTCGAGCGCCGCCTGGTAGTCGTGTATAGCATCGTCATACATCTCGCTGCCCAGCAGCGCCTCAGCGCGATCACAATACAGCTGCGCATCCTTCATAATTTCCAGCGCCTGTTTGCAGTGTGACAACGCTTTGACATACTGCTCGTCTGTGGTGTAGCAGGAGCAGAGCAGCTTGTGCGCCTCGTAGCGTATCATGGTCTCCTCGGGTTCATGTTTAAGCACCGCTTCGCCGGCGATTATGCACTCCGTCGCCTGTTTTTCCTCTCGCGCTGTTTCCGCTGTCACCAGCTGTTTTTCCACTTTGCGCAGTTTCTTGTAGAATGGAAAGCAAAGCTTGTGCTCGGGATCGAATTTGAGGCATTCGCGTATCTCCTTCAGCGCATTAGTCGCATGTCCTATAGTGTATAGCAGTTTTGCTATATTGTAATGCCCCTCGGTGCTGTCCTGTGACAGGCGGTTGACCTGCCGCAAATCCGCAATGGCCGAAAGCGGATCGTTTGTCTTCAGGTAGGCATCGGAGCGAGCCTGTCTGAATGCCACGGACCAGGGCGAGATCTCTAGCAGCTGTGTTATCATGCCTATGGCATTCTGCTCATCATTATTGTTCAGCAGATGCTGCACCAGCTGCCACTGCTCCTTAGCCGGCCTCAGTCTTGAATAGTGCTCTTGCACGAGCGCATTTTGTGGCTCCTCGCTGAGCACATACTCAAAGTCTAGCAATGCGTTATCATAATCGCCGCTCTTCATGTGCACAGTGCCACGCTGGCTGCGAGCGGCTGTAAAGTCTGGCTTGAGCTCTAGCACGCGATTAAAGTCCTGGATGGCAAAGCGTGTCTTGCCCAGCGCCAGGTAGACAGTTCCTCGTTTGAACAGCGTCAAATAATTGTTGGGATCGCCCTCTGAAAATGGATGTAGTTGTAAGAATATCTGGCAAAGTGGAGAGCAATTGCTTCATTTACTCACCAACAGCTGCATGATAATGCGTCAGTGCATCGGACAGCTGACCGCGCGCTAGAAAGTCTTTGCCCAGCTCCAGATGATTGTCGATGTCCGCCTGAGTTGGCGATGTCGCATCGGCGCCTGCAGCAAGTGACGTGTGCCAAAACAGTAAGAATTTAAGTGTTATCAATTTGATTTTAATTAGAGTGCATAATAGAGATAGGCGCGTGTCTGACGAATGCAAAACGCACGGTCAAAATTAAAACATAAGCATAATGTTTTTGGACTGTGATTCGAATACGTGTTGTGTCAGACACGCGTTCATCTCTAGAACCCCTCCCCACTAGGCCACCCGTAAAGTACCTTCCATGAAGAGCTCCAGCAGCAGCAGCAGGACACATGCTGCCAATTTCTTTTCGCCGCTGCCAAGCAGCAGCAGATCGCTTAATGGCAAAGCCATTATGCTGTGTGTGTGCGTGTATGTGTGTATGGCTGTGTGTGTGTGTGTGGGCGTGTGCGTGTTTGTGGGCGTCTTAACCAGTTGTGATTGAGAGACGAGGCTAATAATCAAATTTAAATGCGATACACACGTCACACGTTATGCTTTAAACTTTGGCGTGGCAGCTAGCTCTGGCTTCTTCTTCCAATTGTCTGTATATCACAGCTGCTAATCTTTACCGTTGCACCTGCTTACTAGATGCTGCTTGTTGTTGTTTTCGCGCTTGCCGAATAATTTTGTCCGTTTTAGGGAACAACAAAAATATAAACGTAATCGATTCTTTGTTTTAAGTATATAAATATTACTACGCAATTTGTGGCTTTGTGTCCATTTTGATCGGTAACCGACTCGTTATTGCACCTTAGCAAATACGTTTGCCTCAATTTTGGTAGAACTGGCTGCTTAAAAACCTAAACACTGACGTGTTATGCGAGCTACAAGAGGCCGAAGAAATAGCGTTGCCAGACAGCTTAGCGGCATATGATTTTATCACCTTCT